CACCAACGGCTGGATGTTTGGTTTACACTCTTCAAAGCTCAAAGCCTCCAATTCATCAAGGTACTTCATCAGGGGGGTGAGGAATATCACTATCGTTTCTGCTTCAACAACGCCTGAAAGGATTCATGATCCGACGTCAAATGGGAGTGATGATAAAGCCTAGGACGAAAGAAGGAAAACGGACCTCGAACAACCTTCTTGAACAGATTTCGAAAGAGAGTGGTGTAGGCGGATCCGTTCTCCTCCAAAATGATGGCCATCTTCTTAACCTGTGGATGCACCAGTTGGTCGTAAATGTTATATAAACTGTTGGTCCTCTGATTCCAAAAATCGAACTCATGGGATGGCAGTGGCAACTGACCACTTGGAACTGACGTTTCTGAACTCTGTTCCAAGCACTCGTTGATTTGTTTGTTCCAGTCAACTACTGTCATCTCGATTGAGCACAGCATACTGCCTATTGCGTCTTCACCTCTGTTTCAAAGAAAGATGGACGCTTCTTTACCGAACCACCACCAAGATAGGGAAGAAATTAAAATGAGGAAATGGTTCATTGTTTTTTTTAATTTTAAACAGGCTCGTTGCATAAAGAAGTGATGGATGTACCATCTGAACCCCGTGCTCAAATTAAACTTGAACTCGGTATTTGCATAAGCTACTGTTACTGAACAATACGGCCAACAAGTGGCAATTCATCAAGTTTCACAATGATAAATTACAATGCAGTAACACGGGCCTCCACCGAAAGGTAATACAAGTGACACGATTAAACTAAACCATGGCCATAAGCGTAAGTAACTACTACTGATGCTTTATAAGTAAAATTGTTAGAACCTACTTTACGGTGACGGGATTTTGACCCTCCGCCAACTTGTCTAGCTTAACCGGATGAGCCAGATGCGTCCGACCTTCCATTTTTGCCAGGACAAATTCAGACTTTTTTTGCAGATTGTAGAGGTCCCGTTTGATGTAGTCGTTCAGCGATTCTGGCCAATCCTCGCGGCTCTTATCGTTCAAAATGAATGGAGCTAGCACCTAAATAAAAAGATGCAAGGTAAAGCTAGAGGGTACGGATTTACTGAGTTGACGAAGGCTATAAAATGATGAATGGGTGACTTGTGTAAATCTCCGTAGATAATCCCAGATTTTAACTGATTCATATCGATATTCTTTTCGAAGCTAGCTGGTTGGGCCTTGACAAAATAATAACCCTTGCTTTTCATTACGGCCGGAAATTTGTTATAAACTTCCATCTGCCCACTGGGCGGGAGGATGATCATCATCAGCTGTTCCTCTTGATTCTCGAAAAACTCGAAAATCTTGTCCATTGTGACTGTGTCCTCCTTCACCTTCAACAGCTTTTCCGGCTTCATATCTGTCATGGCCTGGAGGAAGTCGAAGACGAAGCGCAAACGCATATCATCCAACTCTTCCAGCGACATATTTGTTGCCTTTGTTCTGGCTAAGTGTTACGTGCAGTCAACCGTACAATTTTATTTTCACACTTCAAACATTTGATTCTATTGATTTATTGATGAGTCATTTAAGGTTGGCGTTTTGCGAACCCAAACAAACAACTACTCTCCACTGTACTACAAACCAGCCAAACAATGATGTGGAGATTTTTACATGATGTTCGTCCCCAATTCGCATTCTTTTTAACCCCAAATGGCCACGTAACTCTTGGATGAACTTACGGTCCCCTCTGTCATACCAATATACCTTGAGTAGCAAACACCAGTTATGAACAAGCGATGGATGTTGAATATGTTTATTCACATGGTGCGTAATGCTTTGTTTTTGTGACCGCCGGATGTATTGAGGTTACCAAGGCCTTCGTTTTGCCCTTGTACGCACGGGCTGGCCTTCAAGCCATGCCACGATCCTATCCTTCTCTTAAGATACATGCATTGTGTCCAACAAAATGTCTCCCTCTACCTAAACGAAAACGGTGATTATTATCGCAGAAGGAATGTTAATGAAAGGTAACTTTTTTTAGCTAGATAGTTGATCTGCCATTTATAAGTTGGCAAAACTTCAATTGAATGTTTCGACAATTGGTTTATATAAACACCTTATATCAGTAGTTACATAGCTCACATTCATCTTAAGAAAATTCATCAACTAGGGCACTG